TGGCAGAACTCCGTCTCTCTAGGACAGTGATGGCGAACCTATGACACGCGTGTCAGGGGTGACACGCAAACTCATTTTCTTGGTTGATTTTTCTTTGTTACATGGCATTTAAATATATAAAATAAATATCAAAAATGTAAGTCTTCGTTTTAGTATGGTTGCAAATATCAAAAAATTTCTATATGTGAGACGGCACCAGAGTTAAGTGAGGGTTTTTCAAAATGCTGACACGCCGAGCTCTAAAGGTTCGCCATCACTGCTCTAGGACCTTACTCTGTTACACTGTGACATGGCTTCTGGTTCTGACTTTTGAGAAGATTTTTTTTTCCTATTGGACAATGCTGCTCTAAGACTTTAGTATTATAAACACGATTGCATCTAAAATTAGATGTTTCTGTTGCTTTTGCCACCCTCTGCCAGAATCCATAGTTCCTGATCTTTAGGTCAAATGCCTATACTCTGCTCATTGGGAAATAGGCTCCTAATTCCTCAAATTCAAGGAGGATATTTAGGTGCTAAGTGGCCAAACGAATGTACAAATATGCACTACGTATAGTTTTTAGGGTTAAAACAATGCAATGCATGTAGAATAATGAGCCTAGTGTCTTACACATTATAAATATTTGTCAAGTTTAAATTTCTCTGGGTAACAGATATGCTGCTTAAAATTAAGCATGAATTTCACATGACTTCACAAAATATAATGATGTAGAAATCATGGCTCTGTGAATAATGCAGAGATTGAAAATTATGAGACATAAGTTTTATACCAGTTTTATCAAAATACCCTAAAAAATCGATGTATTGAAACTTATCGGAAATGAAACAATTATGCATGTAATGTTTAATGCTATTTTCAGATTTCAAACTTCTTTAAAGCCAATGTTAAAATGCATGCGATTATTCTTTTTTTTTTCTTTTTTTTTAAATTTTATTTTTATTCTTAAGAAACATCAACTTTTTTTTTTTTCTTTTTTTTTTTTTTTTTTTACAAAGGGTATTACATATTGAGAGGAAAGGAGAGAGATAGAGAGTCAGAAACATCGATGAGAGAGAAACATCGACCAGCTGCCTC